TTGCAGCTTTCAGTATGGATTACAACTCAATGTAAGGAAGACCAAAATCCTCACAACCGGATCAATAAGTAACATCATGATAAACGCAGAAAAGGTTGAAGTCAAGGATTTTGTGTTACTTGAATCCACAATCAATGCTTATGGAAGCAGCAGTCAAGAGATCAAAAGGCATGTTGCATTAGATAAATCTGCTGCACAAGATCTGCTTAGAGTATTATTGAAAAGCAAAGATGTTACTTTCAAGATTAAGGTGCACCTGATCGAAACCATGATGGTCTCCATTATATGCATGTGAAAGTTGGACATTGAATAAAGAAGAGTGTATAAGAATCAATGCATTTGAACTGTGGTGCTGGAGAAAAATATTGAAAGTACCATAAACTGCTAAAGAATAAAACTGATCTGTATTGGCAGAAGTAAGGTCAGACTGCTCCTTAGAAGCAAGGACAGCAAGACTTTGTCTTACATTCTTTGGACATTTTCAGAAGAGACCAGTCCCTGGAGAAAGACATTATATTTGATAAAATGGAGGAGTGGCGAAAAAGAGGAAGTCCCTCAACAAGATGGACTGACTCAGTGGCTGCATCAATGGGCTCAGGCTTAGGAACAATTGTGGGGATGGCACAGGACCTTGCAGGGTTTCTGCTGTTGTACAGGGTCACTATAGGTCAGAACTGACTCACTAGCAACTAACAAAGACAGCCATGTCAGTTGTTTCCATCTTCTCTTATATAGGCATAGGAGTGCGTACATCAGCTCTTGCTATGGTGTTTATTTCTTAAGAGTATTTGTCAAGTAGAGGATTTGCTGGGTCACATGGCATTTCTATTCCCATTTGTTTGAAGAAGCACCATACCACTTTCCACAGTGGTTGTATATACTCTTTCACAGTACTTTGGAACAGTCTTTGATGATAAAGATAAATTTCTAGTTACACCAGAAGTCAAGAACTTCCAACTCTTAGCCACTCTATAGGACAGAGTAGAACTTTGAAAACTGTAAATGTTTAAAGAAACAGATGGTCTTATAGTTCTCAGCTGAAAAAATAACATATTTTCTAGAATGTTTCACATCCATAATAAAAAAAAATGAGTGAATTTTTATGAAATGTATTTGAGCCTTGTTAGCAAAACCCTGGTAGAATATGTCAGCAGAGTTCATCAAGTTGAATAAAAATGATACAATATAATCAACACATGATCACACAGAAGTAATATTTTCGTCTTTTCCATGGAGTCATAGAAGGCTGAAGAATAAGAAGGTGTACCCCCAAGAACCAAAATCCCCCCCAAATTTATGTAATTTTAAAAAAAATTAATTTTTTAATACTCATTTTATTAGGGGTCAATTTTTAAAATTTTAAAATTTTTTACAAAAAAAAACTTTTCACCTTCAAAGTACTTTCCATTACACTTAATACATTTGCAAATTTATGATTCCATTCTTGGAAACATTTTTCAAACTCATCTGTGTGGATGGCTGACAGCACCTCCCTCATTTTTCCTTCATCTCTTCTATGTCCTCGAATTGCTGTCCTTTCATGTCCTTCATTCATGGAAACAAAAAGAAGTCCCACCAAGTGAGGTCAGGTGAGTAAAGTGCATGCAGCAACACAGGCATGCTGTTTTTGGTAAAAACCCGTGCACTGAGATGGCTGCATGAGTAGGTGCATTGTCGTGTTGGCAAAACCAGTCCTGTCTGCCACAAATCAGGCCTTTTTTGTTGCACACTTTTACGCGATTTCTTTAGAACCTCTAAATAGCTTGACTGATAGTCTGACCTGATGGAATGAATTCCAAATGCAATACAACATTTCACCTTTTTTGGAATGAGAAAACCACTCGTCCATTTGAGTTTTCCCCCATAGTGCTGTCCTTGTAAGGTTTGTTCAAATCATAACAGTTTCTGAAGCATTTTTCCTGGGCCAGAAACAAACTTTCACAGTCACATGCTGTTCTCTTAAATAGGCAATCACAAAAAATGAAATTTGAGAAAAACTGATTTCACAAAAAAATTTACTGTGACCAGAGAAACTTCTCAGGTGACACCACTGGATGCAGTAACTCAGAGCAAGTTGCTTGATGCTCACCTAGTGGAAAAATTGCTTACTACAAAAACTCCGCTCTGACCAATGCAATTCCAGTTTTGGGGGTACACACCTTGTAGAAGTGTCCCCACTTGAAGAAATATTTTCCTAGTAACCTAATGATTTTGTGAGGCACTTAAAATTATTTGATGACTTAGTCAAAATAGTGTTACAGATTTTTAGTTCATCATGATGGCTGCAATTCAAGAAAGAAAATGATAAAGTCAAAGGGGAAAAAAGACAAAATATCTTATAGGATGGTATAAGGCTCATGGAGAAAGAGTAGAATTCTATGAAAACAGTTTATAAAGAATCCCACACACGTTCCAAGGATAATAATCAATATTATTTGCTTCATCTTGGGGCTTCAGAGAACCTGACAATAAAAAGCAGCAAATCACTTTTCAATGGATCTGCCAATTGCACACAGAATACGATCGAAATAAGCTAAAACATTTCATAAAATCTTCATCTGTGAAGTGTATGGGGAGAAAGATATCCATGAACAGCAAAAGATAGGTTTTGGAACCCCTGCCAATTATCTCTGGATCTCCATGAAAAAGCACCCGATGATCACAGTTAATCCCGTAATTCAAGTACTGTTGATAGGCATCTTAATTGTAAAGAAAATTGGTAAGAGAACAATGCTTCTATTTCAGATCTTCAAGGGAAAATTAAATGCATATGTTCCACAGTTTATCTGAGATTGTATTGTGAGATTTCACAGTGTAAGGTAAAACAGCCCAAGTCATTTTGAAATCTATACCATTGCTTTCAAAAGACTTAATCCACTCTCTCTACAGGCATGTGATTCTAATGATAGTGCATGCTTTCTTATGAAGGCAAAGCAAAAGAACCGCAAGCTCACATGTGGGTACAACAATACAACAGGAAATAGAAACCCCAGGTATGAACTCTGAGTGATGACAACAAACAAAAACAATTAAATGAAAAATAAATATTTGTTCAAAGAAGTAGGAGCATTTACAGAATCATCATCCAGAATTTAGAGTGGGCTTGAATTTTGATCAGTATTCTGAAGCCCTTGAGGGGAAAATAAATAAATACATGAAGTAAGCACTTGGTCATCTGTTACTACAAGGGCCTGTTTCTTTTGCTTTGTTTTTTATTTTTACTGGTTGTGTCTTGATAAACATTTGGAAATACATGACATACCTTCTAAATTGCACTGTTAATTACACACAAACATTCAGAGCATGGCCTTGTTAGACTTTCTAAAAAAAAAAAAATGCCTCCTTTAAATTAAAAACAAAACCCACAACAGAAATTCTATTAAAGTTCACCTCTATAGAAAATCATAAGGAAGTCTCTGTTTGTTTTGTTTGTTTGTTTTGTTTTGTATAAATTTAGGTGAACACAGGTAGACAATGAATGGCACCTACCTTAACAGAGCGTTTCGCCCATCACTTCTGGCACACCAAATTTGCCGGGTCTGATAACCTATCTCTAAGTCCCACGGCTTAGAATGGTGATGGGGTTTGTAACTTGGATGTCGAAAGGCATCCTTTGAGTCAGAGGGAAAATCCAAACCAGTTCTTGCGCTTAGGTTAATTTCCTTAAAAAGAGGCAGGCTACATTGACTCCATGGGCCAACCTTGAGCCGAAAAGTGTAGTCTTCTTCCCCGCGCGGGCAGGAGACGGGAGTCTCGCAGGCCCTAGACTCTGTCAAGTTCGGACACGGGAGGCCCCCGAAGAGCGGAGGTGAGAGGACCGCGCGAGTCCTGTGCTGCAGCTTCTGGCCGCACCCCGTGCCGCACGGGGACCACGGGGAGAACTCAGAAACCACACAGTCCCGGGGGCACGGAATGAGGCAGGCCTGCTCCGTGGGAGGCTGGTGGGCAAAGTGGTCACAAATTCCGTCGGCAACCACAGTTCTGTTCAGGGTCTGCAGGCAGCGCACGGTCCGGCGCTGCAGCCCGTGCTGCGCGGTCACACACTGGGCAGCCCGCGGCGTGCCCTCCCCACGGGCGGAAGGTGCCAGCCCGCAGCGCTGCCACTCGGACACCTCCCACTGGAAGAGGTCACGGTGCCAGTCGCAGACTCGGAAACAGCTTCTTTCCTGGGCGGGCTGGTGGCTTTCATCACAGCTCGACCGGTGGCTTGTCCACCCTTCCACATGGAAACACCACACAGCGCGACTCTGGACTCCAGCAGGCCCGCAGGCTCCAGTACACCTTCCCCAGGGGCCTAGAGACAGGAAAACAAGGGGTGTCAGTGACTCGTCCGTGACAGGCGACAATCTTGGGGAGACACTAGTGTCCAGAGGCTCGCTCTGCAAACACACAGCACCAGGGTGAAGTGCAGAAGTGGAGGCGAGACGGAGACAATGCCAAGTACAATTTAGTGTTTAAGAATGTGGACACCGAATGCACTTGCCTTTGTTGAAACCAAGGCTCAATCTCTTACCAACAGTGTACCCTTTCACAAATTATGTCGGCTTCCTAAACCTGCCTTCCGTGCCTGATATCAGGTAGAAGATATTAAAAGCTTTGGCTCGCAGAATTGTTCAGAGGATCAGCGTTACAAAGTGGATTGGGTAGACAACACACATTTATTGAATGGTAAGTTTCATTATGATTATTATGTGCCAAAGCCTATATATCTAATTCAGAATTAATACTCTCTAGTTAGGTAGTGTTTCATCGAAAAGAAAAGCCCTAAATCCCAGGTTTTAATAAAGTAGGATTTCCCATATCTCCGACCCTTCAGCTCTTAATTCTAAATTGTGCAGAAAAGAGAGTGAGGCCTCTGGTTACCAGTATACGACTGGCACTCCTGTTTGGAAGAGACAGAAATGTGCCCTTATTTTGAAATGACAGAACCTCCCTCCACTCACAACAGACTTTTCCTCACAATCCCATCTCTCGTGCTGTGTGTACCTCATTTAAATACGAACTGAAAAGGCTCTGAATCCATTCTCGGAGTGAACACAAAACCAAACCCAGGCCACGGACGCTAGTCAGACTCATGGTGTACCAGCTAAGGAAGAACTACATGCATTGTTAGGCAACCCACGCAATTGACCTGAAGATGCACTTAGGAACGGAGCTGGTCTGTAACCCAGGAATTACCTCTAAGTTTCAAAAATAACATGCCCAACTATACTAACTTGGTTTTCACTTTCTTTCTTTCTTTATTTTTAAGATACATAAAGATCCATTGGTTAATGCAACTAGGACGCACAGGAACCTGCAGAACTCAAGGTTTCCCATATTCTCAGAAATATGGGAAATGGTAATGCATGTTGACCACAAAAAAAGGAAGTACTTGGGGTACTCTTGAAATGACAAACATAACTCTTGGTGAGGCAACGCAGAAGGGCAGCCCAGGAAATGCAGGATTCACTGTTTTCCTTCACAACCAAGCAAGTCCAGGAGGTAAGGGTTGAGCTGAGAGAAGTGAAATGTTCCAGGCTCCACTGAGTAGAGGCAGGCTAAGCACCAGAAGGATTCTCTCTTCCTTTATGTTCATGAATCTCCTTGAGGTAAGTTTGGAGCTGAGGTATGTGAAACCTCTGGAGGCACCATTGAACTGATATAAAAGCAACTCCTTGTGGAAACGTTGTGGTGAAACACCTGAACTTTCCCAATAACGTGTTTTAACGCAACTCAAGTATCTTCCTTTGGCAATGTTGTGGGTAGAGGAAAATATGGAGCTCAAGGAAGTAAAAATTCTAAAGACACCACTGAAGGGAGGTTCACACAGCTATGGGAGTATGTAAGTCTGGGAACTTTAGAGAAACAAATCCACAGAAACTCATGTATAAGAGAGAGTTTTATATAAGGTTAAGTACACATCAAGAAAACATCCCTACCCAGAGCTGCCCAAGCTCACAAGTACAACATTAGCCCATATGTTCACCACCAAACACAAAGTCCTCTTCCATCTCACAAAAGAGACGAAATTAGACCGACTGTAGGGGGAAAGACAAGTTAGTGAAAGGGTAATCATCTCAGGATACTCGGGGTCTCCACACAGCTACTCCAGTACCCAGGGCTGCATCACGGTAAGTCCATGTGCTTCTGCTCAGGGATGTCTTGCAGGAAGTGAGCCTTGAAAGCAAAAGCAGTTGACTGGCTAAGGCAGCTGCACCCTGGTCCAACCACCACAAAGCAAGAGCAGTTTTCACTTTCTAAATAACTGTCCTAGGTTGTCCAATTACCATATATACTCATGTATAAGCCGAGTTTTTCAGTACATTTTTAATGCAGTTTTTGTGGTGAAATTAGGTGTCTTGGCTAATATTCGGGTCACCTTATACTCAAGTATATACGGTATTTACAATTTTTAAAATTTTGATACAAAGCAAAGCAGCAAACAGGGGCAAATTACCCAAATAAGCATGGTCAGCATGGGCCTACTTTGTTTGCATCTTTACATATTAATAAGTAATCACTAAGAAGCCCATGTTTGCCTTGCTATTAAGTACCAGGAAGCTTGTGCTTACCTGACTGATTGGATAATCTAACACTGGCAGTAAAGGAGGAATTGCCTGTAAAAAGGCCCACAGCATCCTTGAAATGTCTTGTTTTAAAATAATTAATTCATATTTGTGGGAAAGAGTCCAGTAAATGGACAGACAAGCAAACTGTCCATGGATATTTATAACACTTTGGCATCCCATCTATAGACATGCCAGCCGATTTAACCAGAAGGCTAGTCACAGACCTTTTCACGGGGGCAGCAAGGGCTCACACTTTGTGGCAGTAGCTTTAAACAAAAGAAAAGCAAAAATAGTCGACCCTGAAAAAAGTCTCATCAGTGTAACCATGTGACCTTTGCCTGGAATCAGGAGAGCAACACGGCTGGATATAGTTTTGATTTTCGCAGGCAGAAAATGAAAGTGCATTCTCTCTCGTTTTCTTTTCCTCAAGTCTAATCCAATCACTCACCCCAAATGTTTTTAAACCGCCTCATGGAATGCATTTTGACGTGCATCCATTATTCCATCGGGAGTAAGAGCTGTGGGCCTGCACCTATGCATCCTCAGGGAGCCAGATGCTTGCATTGGGGCCACATCTTCAGACGGGAGTCTGTTCTGAATGTTTAGATCCAGTGCTCTGGTAGAATTCGAACCTTCCATACAAGAGACCTGGGTTCTGTTCTTGGCCAGAGCACCTCAAGGGCAGCTACCACCATCTGTCAGTGAACACCGGTCTTGCTGTGACGCTGAGCAGCTTCAGGCGAAGTTTCTAGACTTAATAGGAAAAGTCTTCTTCTGAAAAGCGGCCAGTGAAAGCCCTATGGATGACAACAGTCCACTCCACACAGGTCCTGGCCTTTCTTGCCATTGTGCACAGATTGCCATGAGTCCGTGGTGGCTCGATGGCAGCGGACAACTACAATTCTGGGTTAGACCAACAGTGGATTAGACCATAGTGGTAATGACTCCCGTGACTTTGTGAAAGAGCTGAATGTAGAAAGGGTCAAAGCTCCCTTTCAGGACATACACCCACTAAGGCCGTTAGTTTCCAAACACCCTTCAGTTGCCCACATGCATCCCACGAGCGTCGTTCCAGCACTGACGGCTCCCGGTGCAGCCGCCCGCTGAGGGGAAGGATGCCCAACACTAGCTGATTAAATTCACTGTCCTCAAGCTGGGTGATTTGCTTCTAGATCACTCAGCAGGCTTAACTCCACAAATACAGTTGCTTCCTGTGATTTCAAAGTTATTTTCAGTCTCCATACATCTAGATGGTCTGGAAAGTTTCTGCTTAAAAATGCTCTGCATTACCCACCATGTCAGACATGCAAAATTGTACTCTTACCAGAAAAATTGCCATGGTCCTTCAGTAAAGAGGGTTTGCAATAAAGTAAACAATTGCAACAAACTTTAAAAAATCAAAAGCCAGTCTTAAATGATGAAAAAAGTTATTGGATAAAATTGAGGAGAACTTTTGAAATGTGCTTTGGGGTTTTAAATAGCTCCCATCTGTTTATCTTTACTTTGTAAAGTATTGAATGCACCCAAATTCCCATGTAATAACTGTTGAGTAGATTCAAGAAAACATTATCAGAAAAGTGAAGAAGTGATATCTAATCAATTGTGGAAGACCTATATTAAATTTAATTCACCCAAAACATCTTACCAAGTGCCTCTGTTTCCTACGGCTAAATAAATTGACTAACACATTTTCTTCTTCAAATAGTATTGTTTCCTTATTATTAAAAAAGCCCTGCTTATTTTCAAAATATACTACTGTAACATGCTTGTCATTTTAAATTACTAATATTTTAAGCTTTATGAATTATTATTCTTTCCTCAGCTTTCATATCCTCCATGTATATGGAATTTTACCAAACAGCAAAGAAACAACCCTGGATCAATGAAAGACAACGTGTAACTATTAAGATACAATTATGACCCTGCATTGAAGGTTGACAGTAGAGTGCCGAATATGGCCGAAGATTATTAAATATTCTCAGAATTTGCCAGCTGGTCATTCATTAATCGTTTGAAATCAGTCATGATGAGAAAAGTACATACACTATCCTTAGGCTTCTGTAAACGTAAGCTTCTCAGCATACCACCAAAGTGGGGCCAAGTGCCTTGATGGTACACAAGCCTTAGAGGGCGGGTTGATGTGCTTAATTCCTATATGGTACACAAGCCTCAAAGCGAGGGTTAATTTGCTCATTTTACTAGATGGGGAAAGGAGGACTCAGAGAACTTTAAAAAGCACACCTAAGATAACAACTGGAACATGGTAGACTAAAATTAGAACCCAAGTGTGTCTCATTCCAAAAGTGTCGTAAGTGGGTGTTTTAAGTATTTTCCAGGGTCTATATTGATATGTGTGATTTTAATATCACAAGATAAATATCGCTTCCTTTCTTAGCCATGATTTATCCTATTTGTTGATGAATATCCTTTTGGGCCACTGCCTGTCAGCTTGTCATTCTGTGGGGGAACTAACTGTGTGTTGCTATGACACTGCTCTGTCACCAGTACTTCAAATACCAGCAGGGTCCCCTAAGGTGAACAGGTTTCAGCAGAACTTAAGACAAAGAACAGACTACAGAGAAGGAATGGGCTGTCCACTTCTGAATGATTAGCCACTGAAAGCCTTATGAATAGGAGAACATTGCCAGATACAGCGCCAGACAATGAGCTCTCCAGTTCAGGCAAGACCCTCAAATGCAAAGGAGGAAAAGGTACATTCTAGAAGCACAGTCAAACAAAAGTC